CCATGGCAACCCGCCAACCACTGCGTCTGGCCGTGGTCGCAGGTGAGTCCTACTACGGTCGCAAACATAATGAAACGTTCAGACCTCACAGGCTGCGTGTGACGGCCGTCAAGCAGATCCCACTGTCTCTGCGAATCACTTCCCGAGCTGATCTGCTCCCCACTGCCTTTGGGTCAGGCTATTGAGCCAAGGCTCCGGGAGTCCCTCAAGCAAACCTCCGAGCACAACGATCACCTCGCGTGCGATTGCCCACCAATGCAATCGTATGCCTGCGCGCCAAAGCACTCAGCATCCGGGTGCTGGAAACGTGCGCACACTACTGGACCGGAACTCCCAGCGAGCGCCCGGAGCGACGCACTGCACTGGTCGCGATGGAGCGCGCGCAACCACATCGATATTGCGGCGCTCAGTGAAACACGGCTCGCTGAGCAAGGTAAGTTGCATGAAGCAGGTGCTGGCTACACATTCTACTGGGTGGGCAACGCCGCCTCAGCACCACGTGAGCATGGGGTCGGATTTGCAATATCCGATCGCCTCCATGGCCAGCTGGTGGGTGAACCAACAGGCATCAGCGCGCGACTGATGACTGTTCGCCTACGACTCGGAAGAGGTAAGTTTGCTACCTTTTATAAGCACGTACGGTCCGACCATGTGTTATCCTGATGACTTGAGAGGGGGGGGGGGGGGGGGGGGGGGGGGGGGGGGGGGGGGGGGGGGGGGGGGGGGGGGGGGGGGGGGGGGGGGGGGGGGGGGGGGGGGGGGGGGGGGGGGGGGGGGGGGGGGGGGGGGGGGGGGGGGGGGGGGGGGGGGGGGGGGGGGGGGGGGGGGGGGGGGGGGGGGGGGGGGGGGGGGGGGGGGGGGGGGGGGGGGGGGGGGGGGGGGGGGGGGGGGGGGGGTGGGGGGGGGGGGGGGGGGGGGGGGGGGGGGGGGGGGGGGGGGGGGGGGGGGGGGGGGGGGGGGGGGGGGGGGGGGGGGGGGGGGGGGGGGGGGGGGGGGGGGGGGGGGGGGGGGGGGGGGGGGGGGGGGGGGGGGGGGGGGGGGGGGGGGGGGGGGGGGGGGGGGGGGGGGGGGGGGGGGGGTGGGGGGGGGGGGGGGGGGGGGGGGGGGGGGGGGGGGGGGGGGGGGGGGGGGGGGGGGGGGGGGGGGGGGGGGGGGGGGGGGGGGTGGGGGGGGGGGGGGGGGGGGGGGGGGGGGGGGGGGGGGGGGGGGGGGGGGGGGTGGGGGGGGGGGGGGGGGGGGGGGGGGGGGGGGGGGGGGGGGGGGGGGGGGGGGGGGGGGGGGGGGGGGGGGGGGGGGGGGGGGGGGGGGGGGGGGGGGGGGGGGGGGGGGGGGGGGGGGGGGGGGGGGGGGGGGGGGGGGGGGGGGGGGGGGGGGGGGGGGGGGGGGGGGGGGGGGGGGGGGGGGGGGGGGGGGGGGGGGGGGGGGGGGGGGGGGGGGGGGGGGGGGGGGGGGGGGGGGGGGGGGGGGGGGGGGGGGGGGGGGGGGGGGGGGGGGGGGGGGGGGGGTGGGGGGGGGGGGGGGGGGGGGGGGGGGGGGGGGGGGGGGGGGGGGGGGGGGGGGGGGGGGGGGGGGGGGGGGGGGGGGGGGGGGGGGGGGGGGGGGGGGGGGGGGGGGGGGGGGGGGGGGGGGGGGGGGGGGGGGGGGGGGGGGGGGGGGGGGGGGGGGGGGGGGGGGGGGGGGGGGGGGGGGGGGGGGGGGGGGGGGGGGGGGGGGGGGGGGGGGGGGGGGGGGGGGGGGGGGGGGGGGGGGGGGGGGGGGGGGGGGTGGGGGGGGGGGGGGGGGGGGGGGGGGGGGGGGGGGGGGGGGGGGGGGGGGGGGGGGGGGGGGGGGGGGGGGGGGGGGGGGGGGGGGGGGGGGGGGGGGGGGGGGGGGGGGGGGGGGGGGGGGGGGGGGGGGGGGGGGGGTGGGGGGGGGGGGGGGGGGGGGGGGGGGGGGGGGGGGGGGGGGGGGGGGGGGGGGGGGTGGGGGGGGGGGGGGGGGGGGGGGGGGGGGGGGGGGGGTGGGGGGGGGGGGGGGGGGGGGGGGGGGGGGGGGGGGGGGGGGGGGGGGGGGGGGGGGGGGGGGGGTGGGGGGGGGGGGGGGGGGGGGGGGGGGGGGGGGGGGGGGGGGGGGGGGGGGGGGGGGGGGCGGGGGGGGGGGGGGGGGGGGGGGGGGGGGGGGGGGGGGGGGGGGGGGGGGGGGGGGGGGGGGGGGGGGGGGGGGGGGGGGGGGGGGGGGGGGGGGGGGGGGGGGGGGGGGGGGGGGGGGGGGGGGGGGGGGGGGGGGGGGGGGGGGGGGGGGGGGGGGGGGGGGGGGGGGGGGGGGGGGGGGTGGGGGGGGGGGGGGGGGGGGGGGGGGGGGGGGGGGGGGGGGGGGGGGGGGGGGGGGGGGGGGGGGGGGGGGGGGGGGGGGGGGGGGGGGGGGGGGGGGGGGGGGGGGGGGGGGGGGGGGGGGGGGGGGGGGGGGGGGGGGGGGGGGGGGGGGGGGGGGGGGGGGGGGGGGGGGGGGGGGGGGGGGGGGGGGGGGGGGGGGGGGGGGGGGGGGGGGGGGGGGGGGGGGGGGGGGGGGGGGGGGGGGGGGGGGGGGGGGGGGGGTGGGGGGGGGGGGGGGGGGGGGGGGGGGGGGGGGGGGGGGGGGGGGGTGGGGGGGGGGGGGGGGGGGCGGGGGGGGGGGGGGGGGGGGGGGGGGGGGGGGGGGGGGGGGGGGGGGGGGGGGGGGGGGGGGGGGGGGGGGGGGGGGGGGGGGGGGGGGGGGGGGGGGGGGGGGGGGGGGGGGGGGGGGGGGGGGGGGGGGGGGGGGGGGGGGGGGGGGGGGGGGGGGGGGGGGGGGGGGGGGGGGGGGGGGGGGGGGGGGGCGGCACCTGTTCTGGGCTGGCGGCAACCTTGGCTCGCAGCCCCTATGACTTAGTGCGTCTGAGGTCCAATTGGATGAAGGCGACGGGCTATACACGCACACCTACACACCTGCACAAGTGACTGGCGTACGCACGGAACTAATTGAGTAGACTCATGTTGAATGCCCCCTCAGATTATTTCTGTTGCCCAAGAGGACAACTTGGCCAGGAAATGGTATAGTGCCCTCGTTCATTTGCCTCACCTGGCAGACCGTTTTTGTGCTCACATGTGCTGCGTAGAGTGTACTGCTTCAAGCTTGCTACTGAAATTTTCCTACTACCATACCGCTGTTCTGATATCGCTTGGGTGTAACATATTGGTGATTACGGTACCCCAATCGTTTTGGAATTCTCCTACTGAAAAACTTACTACACAGCAATAGACACAGGTAAAACTACTTTTATCAATTACGTTGATATACTTTTGCTTCTTGGCGGCAACAACAAGCTAGACGTTGTAACAAAAATCAAACGCATACGCCACCTCCTCGGTAATGAGAGTCAGAGACATTTCGACAGTCTGTAACTACATACAAAAAGAGACCTACCATTTGTGTGTTATTCCCTGGACCAACTTTGGGGGAAAAGCCACATGTTCACAACAGGTTGCTAATTCAACACCATACGAGAACAACCGAATGAGAGTGTAAATATGTTTATCTCTCGACTTCTTACTGCTTTTCCCGATTGTGCTTATGACCAGATTCTACCGATCCAGTTCGAAGAGGCGATGTCGTTACAGGCGTTAATTGTGAGTGTTCTGGATGAGAAGGCACGACCGCGGCTGCTGTCCAAGGACGAAGCGCTCCTGACTTTGGAAAAAGCCTGTGATATTGTCCGAAAGCGTGCAAACTTCCTTCAGGAACTAGCTGCGTTTTCTTCTTCCAACCAGTTGATCTCACAGGAGTTACACAAAGTCTTCCAGACTAACTGTGATCAAACCGTAGCTCAACTTGTTCAGCGTAGTGAATTTCGTTGTTATCTCTGCAATAAACCTTATTCGTCCCCAACTGACTGTCAGCATTTCCTTCCAGTGTGCAGATTTTGTGGTAAAAAAGGTTATGTTCAGAAAGTGTCATCCCAAGTGGAAATAATTTGCACACGAGCAACAAAAAGCTACAAATTGCATCACCGAGAACTTATATCAGAACTGGATCAATACCACAAGTGTTTTTAATCGCAAAATTGTCGGAAAAGCCCTTTGTCGTGTATGTTAATGTAAACGCGCAATCTGCGGATTTTGAAATTGGTACCAGTTCCGCAGTTACCCTGATAAGACCGGATTCCTTACCACAACTCCAAAAGTTAGATCCACCAAATATACAATTGTGATCTTATACGGGACAGATGGTGAAGGTGCTGGGCACATTTATTGCATGTATCACCTGCCATAATTCAAAAAAGCATATGTGTGTACGTTTCTGGAGGACCTAACCCAAACATACTTGGCCTTGACGGAAGCAAACGTCTTTTCAGCATCATACCGAACGTCAACTTAGTGGAAACCCATGCACAATTACCTGATTTCTTGCAGAAACATGCGGTTTTGTTCGAGGAGTCTAGACATGACCTTATGATCGATTACGCAACCCATCTAGTGTTGAAACCACAGGCAATGTCTAGGTTTTGGAAAGCCAGAGCTACTTCCTATGCTCTTCGTGATAACGTTGAGAGTTAGTTGCGCAGACTCCAGCTGGAGGGTAGGATTGAACCTGTTCAATATTCGGACTGGATAGCCTCTATCGTGCCAGTCCTGGAGAGCGATGGTGCCACAAGTTACTGTGGGGACTACAAAGTTACGATCAATCAATCATTACGGCTAGACAGATATCCGCCGCCAAAGAGCGAAGACATTTACACTTCTCTCTCTTGTGGCGAGTTTTAAAAAAATCAAACTAAACCTGAGCCACGCCTACCAACAAAGTGAACTCGACAAGGAATCACGTGCTGACAACACCATTGGCACTCACCTTGAATTATTCCGCTATACACGCATACTACTTATGAGTAGAAGGATTTTGGCGAGTATTTTTGTTCATCGTAATCGGATAAGTCGACTTATCTGAATTGCCGGCTGATTGCGACGAACGCATACTATTTGTGAGAAGATCTACTGGGCTATGTTTCTGCGTATTATTGACACACTGACGAAGGAGATACCAAGCACATGTGCATACTTAGGTGACATTTAGGTTACTGAACGTACTATCACCGAACACTTGCATAGTTTGCATGTCGTCCTGAAACGATTATCAGACGCCGGGTTGGTTAAAATGAAGAACATGTGCATTTCTTATGTCGTGTGTACAGTACCTTGTGTATCGGTTATCACGAGAAGGATGGTTCTTATTAAAAGCAAATACAAAGGCCCTACTTGAAGCGCCAGCACCCAGTAAGCTTAATGAACTGCGGTCAACCTTTGGTGCCGTTACGCAGTTTTCAAGGTTCATTCCATCGGCAGCAACACATACATCCGCTTCAGCAACTCTTACGTGAAAATCAAACTTGGAATTGAAACCGGATTCAAAAAATGCCTTCACAGCGGCTAAAAAGCTTTTGGCAGCAGCAGATGTTCTATTGCATTAAGACCTGCAAAAGCTGTTATTGTCTGTCCTGGGGCTTTAGCATACTGCCTAGACGCCGTTTTACTGCATGAACTGACGGAGGGCTACCAACCACCCATTGCCTATGCTACAAGAACGCTGACAGCAGCAGAACGAAATTACTCGAACCTTGATCGTGAGGCGGCAGCTGTGATCTCCCGTACTACCCGATTTCACCAATGTTTACGTGGCCGACCCTTCATGATTCATACGGATTATAAACCACTTGAACAATGAACAATGAACAATGAATTTATACCGGTTAAGAAGCATTGCTTTACAACTCCCGTTGGATAGTTGGTGGGGATATCAACATAACAATAATGATGATAAGGATAGTAAATTAGTTAATACTTTAAATATGAAAAAAGGGATTTATCTTTTGCTTCGCTGCAGTCCTACGATCCTCTTAAAATCACAGCATCCACAGTCAACAACAAATAATTCCACGGTAAACTCCAGGTGTAGGATGGAGACATAGTGTTAAGTAACAAAGTGTAAGTGGATGAGTGCATCGTCCAACAGTCTTCTAAATACTGTTAGTGTTGGTGCAGAGACGACCGATTCTGGGAGAGCATTCCACGGGTGGCAGACACGGATGGAAAAGAAATTTCTGCGGCACTCCAGACGACTGTATTGTTCTGCGAGTTTTAATGAGTGGCCCCTCAGGTTTGTATTGCTGCTGAGTTGCAGTAAAGGGCGGCACACATGATGTGGGTCTCGCAGCATCAAGTATGCCATAATCAGGTCGCCTCATAGTCTGCGATAGCTTCCACTGAACAATCCCAGTCGTCGCAGCCTCTCGTGGTAGGAAGGATTGCGCATTCGAATTACGTTCTTAGATGCCCGGCGTTGTGGCTGCTCCAGTGCATTAAGATCGTGTTTCAGCCATGGATGCCAGGCTTGAATTGCATATTTGACATGGGGGCGAACATACGCACTGAGCATTTGTCGAAATATGGAGCTGTTTATTTGTCCAAACGCCCGCCTCAACAGCCTGACGTGTTGGTTCCCGGTCTTCGAGGCCTTTTCGGATTGTCTGGATCAACCCCAGTCATCTTGAACCAGGACATCCAAGTCACGTTCGAGAGTTGATTGTTGCAGCACATCCGTTCCGAGTCGGTATGAGTAGCTGCTTTGATGTCGGATGGAAAGCACCTTGCATTTACTGGCGTTGAAATGCAATAAGTTTTGGGTCGACCATTGATACACCGTAACTAAATCACTCTGATGCACATGTTGGTCGGTGTTCGCCTGGATCCTGCGCCAGATCTTGATATCGTCGGCAAACATTAGGAAGTTTGAAGCGATTCCCTGTGCAAGGTCATTAATAAACATCAAAAACAAACGTGGACCTAGAACCGAGCCTTGCGGCATACCACACTCCACTTGTATGGGGTCCGATAAACAACGCCGAACTCTGACCACTAATTGCCGTTGAAATAGAAAGTTGGCGATCCAGCTTAAAAGAGGGTCTCTGATCCCGTAATGCTGCAGCTTGGATAGTAGTATCCGATGGTCTAGACGATCGAAAGCCTTGGAAAAATCCAGGGAGATCCCATCAACACCTTCTCCAGCGTCGGCTGCCTCGGTCCAACTACTGCGTGCAATTAGTAAATTAGTTGTACATGACCGCTGTCGACGGAAACCGTGCTGGTTAGGGGTGATGAGGTTGCAGTTTTCCAGATAGCACACCAGTGCATCGGCAACTATGGATTCCATGACCCTGGAGAGTATAGGAAGAAGGGTTACTGGGCGGTAGTTGGAGGGATCAGTTCTGCTTCCACCTTTGTGAATCGGGCTTATTATTCCAAGCTTCCACATGGCAGGAACTTGGTTCTGGTCTAAGCAGTGCTGGAAAAACTGAGCTAAAGGTCCTGCCAGTTGGTTTGATGCTGCTCCCAATGTCTCTGGACGAATGGTGTCGACACCCGGCGAGCTGTGTTTGCGTAGAGAAGTCAGCTTTTGAATACAGCCTCTGCGGTAAAATTGATGTGGGTTAGTCCTGGTGAGCAGAATACAAAGCTTGGTACATCGCTTGGTGACAATACTCCTTGAAACGTGGGGGCGTATTGCATCTGCAGCGCGTTTGCTGCTTCCACAGCCGTTCTTGTTGGGCCATCAGCCGTCTTGAGTGGAGGAAATCCTTGCCTCACCTTTCGTAAGTTATTAACTTGCTTGTACAGCAGTTTGTGGTTAGCGATGTTCTGCTGATAGGCGGCTTTGTCTTCTCTTAACAGTTGAGTGCAGTGGTTACGTTGGGCTACGTTATTGTCCCAAGTTTCTGGTGCTGGTGCTTCTCTGTACACTCGCCATGCTGCGTTGCGTACTGTCATCCATTTTCGGGTTCTGCTCCTAACGAAAGAAATTGATTTGCACTTATTGCAAGCTTTTATCTCTGAAGCC